TCATTTATGTACAATAGGAATATGGCAGTGAAATTTTTTGAAAATCAAAATCAATGGGCGATAATTCATCATACTCACTTTACGGGAAAATTACAAGTTTTATGTTGAATTTATCAGAAAAAATCATTACCCTGTTTGATCCTCGCTTAGTCTTGTTCACTTTGAGCAACTTCTTACCTTCAGATCGGCTATATTGATTACAAACTAACGGTACAAAACTTCCAGAAAGATATTTCGGCAAAATAGCACGGTTTAAGAGCGCTCTGATTGGTTGGATTTGTAGCACGGGTTAGGAGCGCCTCTATCGGTTGGACTTCGAACTACATTCCAGCACGGGTGTGAAAGCCCAACTGTTCTGGGCTACCCAAGTGTTCTGTCTCTTGCCCAACTGTTCTGACAACCTAAGTGTTCCGAGTTCACATATATTTTATAATATCTTAAAATTCACAAGAGAGGGTGCCAAAAGTTAAAAGTGCCACACGATTAAGAAAGAGAGCCAGAAAATGTCAAAAAATTGTCCATTATTAGAAATACGCACCCATTTTTTTCAAAAGAACAATTTTCCTGAACAAGTTGATACATACTTAGTATTCCTGAAACTGAGACCCAGTTAGCCTTGCCCAAGTCGGTCTCTTTTACTATCTTAATTTCTATTATGACCGACTTGTACCAAAGAGAAAGCCACGTTCTTTACCGACTCAATGTTTATGTCGGTAATTTGACCAATCAACGACGGCCCTGCAGCGTTAGCTCATTATTATGCGCGGTCAAAAACAAGTACACTTTTTAGTTTTCGCCGGGACTTTTCACGAACAAATCCTGCATGAATTCATCATCAAAATACAAATATTATATCAGATAAATATCAATCAGAGTTTAGTGGATGCATCGATCGGTAACCGGAGGTGAGAAGATTTCAACAATAAACGTTGAAACGATCGCTGAATTCAAATGAACATGTACATGTGATGTAGGCTGAGATTCGATCACTGATCAAAGACTACATGACCCGCTACATTGGACTAGGTCTTGCATTTTCATCGCAAAATCAGTTTTAAATCTATTGCATGATTTAATTTATATTAATGACTTACATTCCCTATGTACATTTAATTACATAATATATTGTAACTCTAAAGAAACGATCGATCAGATCATTGAATTTCAAGTCGTAGACGGGAAGATTGCTTTGCTTATGCATGCGGGTCAACGATTGGTCAATTAGCCTGAAGTCACACGTCGTGTCCACGCGTATATCTGTCAATATATAAGGTTTCGCGATACCCCTGATAGCGTAGGTATTATGGAAATCTCGAAACCGTTGAATATCTTAGCATAATATCAGCAGCGATGTATTGGATTGTACAAGGCGGTAATAATTCAAGATCAGATAAGTAAAAAAAATACCGACTTGGGCAAGGCTAAGACCCAGTCTACATATATCGATATATTCTGTCCAAATATCCTATTGCTCAGGAGTGTTCCATGGTGCAAAGGTCGAACACCCGGGGATTTGACACTCCTCAATGGGTGCCCTGTTACACTCCCCTCCATAAGTTAGGCAACATTAGCTCCCCCATTGAACTACGTGTTAAAAGCCTCTTTACCTTTGAATTTTTATTTACTTAACCAACCATGAAAATACTTATACTATTAACGGAAACGTAATTTGACTTTATTTCCAATACCTCAACATTTTCTCAATTTTTTCCCTCAATTACAATAAGTTGAAAATTGATGATAAATTTGATGAATTTTGAAAATCGACATTCCCATGTTAACCAATGGGAAACGATAGGTTTGCCGCAAGTCATATGACAGAATATCCATCCATCCGAGTCCTTGCAAAAAAATACGAATAAGGCAGGCAATTGAATTAGTGTTAACTTTATTTAACAAAAAATTGATATGTTTCTTCAGGTTCAACAAAGTTATAGGGCTTTAAAGTCAAAATAGTTTTTCAAAAAACCTTTCCCATTGAAATAACTCAGGAGGCGAAAAATTATTTTCAAAAATGACTTTGAAGCGCTGTAACTTTAGTATTCATCAAATAAACTAAACACTTAGTGTACAAAAAAGTTAGACAATTCAATTTTCTATATAATTTTTTTTTGCTGAATCTTTTACTGAAAATATATCCTGATTTCTGATTTGCCCAAACCCTCCATTTCCCATTGAATTACATGGGAATGACGATTTTCAAAAATTCATTAAATTTATCATCAATTTTCGACCTATTCTAATTGAGGAAAAAATTGAGAAATTTTGGAGGTATTGAAAATAAGGTCAAGTTACGTTTCCATTAATATTATAAGTTATCTCATCGCCGGTTAAGTAAATAAAAATTCAAACCTAAAGAGGCTTTAACACGTAGTTCAATGGGGGAGCTAAGGTTGCCAAACTTATAGAGGGGAGTGTAGTTATATATAAAAAAAGGAAAATCTTTTGTACATGAGACAGCCACATTATAAGTGATTTGATTAACTTAATTTCAACAGTCATCTCTGTAGAAATCTAAAATTGGATTAGAAATTGAAAAATCACCATATCGAGTGTATTTGCTAAAATAAGTAAACCCAGAATACTTGGGTCAATTCAGAATATTTCGGCAGGAGTCGGAATACTTGGGTAGCCCGGAACACTTGGAGCTTCACAAACGGGTTTGATCTGAGGCCCAGGGTTTGATCGAACCTCAAACATGGCTAAATTCTAGCACGGGTTTGATCAACCTCAAACACGTGCTAAACTTAAGCACGGGTTTGATCAATCTCAAACACGTGCTAAACTTTAGCACGTGTTTGATGTGTATCCGGCATCGAGTGCTTCTGCCAAAACTAGAGAATAATGGCCAGTAATGCTACTTTGTTCCCTAAATTGCTAGAAATTGCTAAATTTTTGGGAACACCAAAGGGGGAGAGCTAGTCACTGATAAGGGGAGATGGACTTCTTTTATATACAGTAAAACCTGCCTCAGTGAACACCTGTCTCTAGTAGACATCTTTCCTCTGAACATTACTCTACTGACGACTTTTGCATAAACTGCCCTCTCTGTAGTGAAACCCTACCTATTGTCACGCGGTACTAACTTTGACCGTTAATTTGAATTTTTGACCTACCAGATGCTCGAAAATCAAGGATTGCGAGTCTCATACTGCACCGTTTTTCTTCAAACTTATACCATTAAAAGCAAAACAAAATTGCCTTTCTGTCGGTGCATTACTTTATTGTAAAGATTCCCTCGTTCTAGCAGCGTTTTGGTCCCCAGCTGTTAGAAGGCCTTCATATAGCTGGGGACCAAAATGCCGCTGGAAGTAGGGACTCTGTTTAAAAGTAGAATGTACAAACAGAAAGGGATTTTTGTTATGCTTTGAATGGAACAAGTTTGAAGAAAAACGGTGCAGTATGAGACTCGTAATACTTGATTTTCAAACATCTGGTAGGTCAAAAATTCAAATTAACGGTCGAAGTTAGTATCGCGTGATTGTACACTGAGCGATTTTTTACGGTGAATACTAAAAATGTTCAATAAACAGGTTTTACTGCATAAACAAAATTAAACAAGTGAAAAGGGTGCCAGTTTTTTTTGTATGCATACACCTTAAATACCGTCTTGGTCTTAACAATGGGTATAATACCCATCAGCAAACATCACGTATACTGCTATGTCAGCTAAACTGTGTGAATCACAACAAAGAAAATGGTAATTCTCTGTATCTTTTGAGATGTAAATGAAGAATATGAGTGGCAATCCATATGCCAGTCTAATGTGTAAATAACATCATACCAGTGTGAAAGAAATTATGGTCCCCCAGGGATTATGGTCCACCCTTTTAAAGGCCCTTACTGGCCCTGATTGTGTATAAGATAATGACGGAAAGAGCACAAAGATGTCACCATATAAATCAATGGAGAGTAGGACCTCCTACCATTTTACACCTTGTGTCCGAAAAAAATCAAAATAAAACGAATATAACTCTTTTTCTCCTTCATCAAAAAACTTTGACACGACATCTTTATTTTCCAATAAACAGGTTGAAATTCAGAAAAATTACAAATTATTACTGAGAAACTTGAGATCGAATTGGTTAAATTGAATTGATTAAATTGATGATTCAAAAGGAAAATCGCGATTGATGTAAAGATAGATCCAATCAAGCGTGATCTGATTATCAAATGTTCACATTTCAAGTTATTATACAGTGTGAGATACATGTAACATATTTGGGACTGAAGAAAAATGCTCAAATTTAGAGGTGTCAGTCATCGGATGACAGATACTGTTCAGATATACAAGTTTCACTCTACTTGCGAATAGAATAACAAATCATAGAAATACCACTAACCATTATTAGGCACTGGAATAATCAATTATATTGAAATATACATTTGCTAAAAGTGTGACCCATTCATGAGTACAATATTCCTCTCTACGCGATTTTGTAATAAACATACGTGAGCAAGAAAACAGGTGAGCAAATAAAGCTGTTTTCAATTTGAAGATCAAGACGTCATAGTCGTAAATGATTAAAGCAATGATTACATCAATTGACTAAAACGGCAGATAACATGTCCCACCCTTACATCGTTATCCATCTTTGCATGTACTCCGATTATGCTGATTATTGGAAGAACGATGAACATTTTAGAAAACTAACAATGGAAATATATAGATGGCATGCAGTAGAAATGCATCCATATTTCAAAGACGTGTTTCGAACTCTTGGATAAGGTGAATTGTGGTACAGCACTTGTCCGGATTAGAGCCAACACAAAATTTTAAAAAGCAAGCCCAATATCCTGATTTCATTCTGTGTTTTCATTAAATATTGTAGTGAATACATTCACGTTATTCAAACAACGTTTAAAATAAATTCATAAAATCTTGAATGCTGGAATATAATTTATTTATTCGCATATTCATTTAACATAAATATCATAGATTGGATATCATTAATTATAAACCGCACTGATATAATTTTATAGTATTATACTGTAGATAATTAAACATAAGTAATATCAAATTCAAGATCACTTAAGGACTTCAATTCTCGTTGTATCTTGGCCAATTCACCCTGGAGTGCCTTTATCTTTTTTCTACGTTTTAAACCCCTATCATTTAAACAATTATGAGCAACAGCGTTATCCTGACCATTGTTATTTGGCACAGGATCATTGATTTTGTCTATATCAGTCGTCTGAGTCTCTTGTTCATGTGTCAGCGTATCAGGAATATGGTCATTTGTAATACATGCATGTGATTCAGGTTTGTTATCAGCAATGTCAACCAGTTTTATAAAAGAATCATTTTGGAAGACGGGTGGCATTTTATTATTATGGATAACGTTTCCAACTGGCTTCATGGATGGTAATTCATAAAGGAAGTCATCGCTGAAGTCATACATCAGACTTCGTTCCGGTCTTATATGTTTTGGAGTGTATGTTTCTTTATGGTGTGGATTGACTTCCCAGGGATCGTGGAATGTAGTTGTTACTGGTGGTGGAGTACCTCCTAGATTTTCACTGCGGAGTTTGAATGGATCTTTGCATTCGATAGTTGTATTATGATTGTCATGTCTATCATGGCCTGTATTATGATAGCCTGGATTGAAACAGGGTGAACCAATCGGTAAATTATTTGGGGGATTTGCTTTAGTCACATGATTACACATTTCTGATTTATGTTCAGTTTGATCGTCTGTCACTCGACATTGATTTTTTATTACATGAAAAGGTGCTTCGGTCTCAGCCACTGGATCCAACCCAGCTGCTTTTAATCTAACACTCATTGCTTTACTATTATTCAGAACTATAGGAGGTGGTTTTGAAGGGGCATTACACATAGGCAACGATGTTGATCTACTCCAGGCGTGTGAGGGATCCTCCGTACATGGTGGTGTTGTATCGTCAGTAAGGTCTTCACAAACTGTTAACATATCTGCCTTTTTAATCGACATCGTGTGGAATCCAGAATCCTCAGTCTCAGAGCGCCCTCTTTTTAGTTGACGTTTTACTTTTTTGTCATGGCGACGTTTGTTTTTCACGTGGTTGTAGACATTTTTTGAACCATCTGGCGATGACAGACCACATGTAACATCGTCTTCATCCGAGATAGAATCATACCTTTAAATACATTTTCTGAGATTACTTAGGCGTTTTATACCATGATATTGAATGAGTTTGGCTGTCTCAGTATTAACTACTCTCAAAGATTATGGGAAACCACATGCTCATCGACGAAAAAATGAACTTGATATATATGATTTTCATGAAGTTTTGTTGATCATGATTTAACTTTAAATTAACATTTAGCCCAACTTACATCTTTAATTTGAATCGAACAAATTTGTTTTTCTCTTGTTGAGCATTGCAAGTACACTGAGTAAAAAACGTCAGAGAATGAAATACTTTGACGACAAGGTGAAAAAACGACCAGACGATTACGTACATCAACGAGGAGGGATTTTTTCAATTTTATTACCTTGGTACATTCACCGAAGAGAAACAGTATCATGGCAAAATATAGAATGGTTACATATCTCACCTCTGTCTTGTATACTCAATACGTTTTTTAAGTAATGGCGTACTGTCGACATTCCCTTCTGGATAAAGGAAGTACAGCTCCTCATCCATTTCGTCATCCGACATCTCAACTAGACGCTCCAGGCGACATATCTCTTGTTCTAGCTAAAAACATTAGTCAATTACACAAATAAGAGAACACCACAACTTAATTTATTAAAGGTTTCAAAGAATGTCTTTTCAACTACAAAAATATAACCTTTCAAACACATAACGTTTTAAATGTTTATGTTTTCGGTTATTTTCAATTGCACAGACATACAAAAAGGACAGGGCTTATGCCGAAAAAAGTTGTACACTCCCCTCCATAAGTTTGGCAACCTTTTTTCCCCATTGAAGTACGTGTTAAAGCCTCTTTACGTTTGGATTTTTATTTACTTAACCGGCGATGAAATAACTTATAATATTGATTGAAACTTAACTTGACTTTATTTCCAATACCTCAAAATTTTCTCAATTTTTTTCCTCAATTACAATAGGTCGAAAATTGATGATAAATTTGATAAATTTTTGAAAATCGTCATTCCCATGTAATCCAATGGGAAATGGAGGGTTCGGGGCAAATCAGAAATCAGGATATCTTTTCAGTAAAAGATTCAGCAAAAAATATTTTTATATAGAAAATTGAATTGTCTAACTTTTTTGAACACTAAGTGTTTAGTTTATTTGATGAATATTAAAGTTACAGCGCTTCAAAGTCATTTTTGAAAATAATTTTCCACCTCCTGTGTTATTTCAATGGGAGAGGTTTTTTGAAAAACAATTTTGACTTTAAAGCCCTATAACTTTGTTAAACCTGAAAGAACATATCAATTTTTTGTTAAATAAAGTTAGCAAATTCAATTTCCTGCCTAACTCGTATTTTTTGCAAGGACTCGGATGGATGGATATTCTGTCATTTGACTTGCGGCAAACCTACCATTTCCCATTGGTTAACATGGGAATCTCGATTTTCAAAAATTCATCAAATTTATCATCAATTTTCGACCTATTGTAATTGAGGAAAAAAATTGAGAAAATTTGGAGGGATTGGAATTAAAGTCAAATTACGTTTCCATCAACATTATAAGTATTTTCATCGCAGGTTAAGTAAATAAAAATTCAAAGGTAAAGAGGCTTTAACACGTAGTTCAATGGGGGAAAAAAGGTTGCCAAACTTATGGAGGGGAGTGTACATATACAGAGCCTATAAATGAGATTTCAATCAAAGGGAAAATGCGTTTCAGGCTACCACCAGTGCAAGCGTCATCAAAATATAAGGGGGTTAAAGCAACACGTTTTTAACAGTTAACCATGAGGTCGTGAGTTCGAGGCGCGTTTATTCTCCTTCATAGTATCTAATTGTGTGATTGAGTATAGGGTAAAAGTAAAACAGTTGCAATTTTAAAATACCTGGAAAAACAACTATGAGCGGGATGGGAATCCCTGGGTCATAATCCCGGTCATAATATCACACGTACGCGTAAACGTTTTTGAACAATATATATACATTAAGACGATTCAGCTTCACGTTTTTAAGAGAACCTGTACTCGAGCGTGTAATATTTTGGCCCCCGGGGATTACTGTCCCGCTCTCAATTAACTTTCCCAGGGACCTAATTACAATTACCTCAATGCTTAATCGGCCAAGTAAACACTACAAATGGGAGAACTAATCCATAGAGAACCACAATATTCTACACGTTCACGTACAAAATTAAAAAACGTGTATCTTAACCTCCCTATTATAATCACCTCAACGAGTTCTCGTTTGTATACCCTGTTCTGAACCTCGGCTCTGTAATACATCTCTTTCTTCTCATCTACTGCAAATCTCCGAACGTTCGCCTCAACCATGAGTCCACTCGTTGTTATAATAGGATTACCATCTGATTTTATTATGAAATATATCTATAAAATAAAAGTAGAGAAAATGATTGTCGAGAGATCCTACAATCTAATGGGGAATGTGCATTGTTTCTCAATACAGTTTGGGATATTGGGGTTTGTCTTTTAACATGTCACAAAATTTAGTATTTTCCTTTTGGCACTTGTTCATACATATTCATTTTCACCTACCTTTGGAACAAATAAAAGGCACAGACTGGCAGTGGTTGAGAGTAGAACAAACGATGAGATGATGACGTATGATAGTGTTGGTTGCTCGTTCAATATGGAAGACAAAGCAACTACAATCACACTGACTGTTACGACGTTGTATACATTCATCCCTAAAACACATATTGAGAGGCAAGATAAGATTCGGGTTAACATAAGGTCTAACAATATCAGCGAGAACGGAAACTGTGGCACAAATGGGCTTTTAAGAGGACTCCTGGTACTTCTAAAGTGCCGACAGCTAATTCCATATACAATAATGTATGATGCTAATGCCTCTTATGCCTCTAGGAAACAAACCATTACCATGCAATATGTCACCACCTGCCATTTATTACAGACGCCGCTTGCCGAACGCCTTGCGCCACCCGCCGAGCACCGTCCACAAAAAGGTTGAAAAATTGAACAATATGTCACAACTTGAGGTGGTGACATAAAACTTATCTAGTGAAAATAGATACCATTATACTACTAACCGATATATTGGGAATCGTTGAGTGCTGGGATTTTGACATGTCGTGTCGCCCATGCCATGTAGACACCGAACATGAGGAGCAAACCCTTGTAGGCGTAAAGTGCGCCTGTCCATTTGATCATATGAACAGAGTCACACGTGGCTAGTTGGGGAATGTAGAGCAGGTCAGGATCATTCTCAGAAGACTATCAATTTAAAACACAAATACAAAAGTTCTACCATGGTATATAGTATATTGCGCCATATTCTAAAACCTAGGATGAATCCTGAATAAAACATAATAAGATTCGACCATGCCATATAGGGTTATATATAATTTTACATATATTTTCGGAAAAAAACGACGATCACGAAAATACTTTAGCTAGCTTGATCTACCAGCCCCCTAGACCGCTTGTCCAAATCCATGCAATGCAATTAACTTTGATTACTCACAACAATAGTGAAGTTGCTGACAGACTTGTACATTGGATCTACGAGCACCCAGAGAGATATGACGATCACATCCACAATGAGGAGGGCACCAATAATAAACAATAGCTGCTTGTCCTTCAGCAACTGGAATACACATATTATCATGTTTTGGAATTCAATGTTGAATTCATGCAAAACAGTGTTTGGGACATCTATTTTGAATCAATCAATATTTATTTTTCAATTACAATTTCTGGTACAAAAGAGCCTGTCAATCGCCGATTTGAGAATTGCAGGCTAAGCTAATAGACGGACTATCATCCCATAGATTTAATAGTTATACATTCATGCACCAGCTTTGTTGTAATGACAGTCCTACCTTGCTTTTCAGTAAGCCCCTATTGACCCTAGTAAAGATCTGATAAACTCTGTACGTTTTGGTGAACATTGCACCAAACGCTAAGGAGAACCCAGCAGAGAAGAGAAAGGCACGGACCTGAAAAAAAAGAACATTTGTTTTGAGAATAGCTGAGATCCTGAATGATGAGAAGGGGTGTTTAATATTGTTCCCTTACGCGCCGGGTCATTATTGCGGATATCCAATGCTTTTTTTCCTAATTTCTTCATGAATGGCTGTCGTCTTTTAATGTGTTTTTTAATAGGCCTACGCTTTGCATTTCCCATTTATCACTTGTCCATAAACATTTGCGTATGATTTGTACACCTTTTATCGAAACCTACAGCTGTAGTATAAAGAACGCTGCTACTTTATATTTCTCTAATAGTTTCGAAACTAGTGATCCAACAATGGCACTGTTTTGTTTTTGATCCCTTTGCTTTAATTTTCAAAATGTCAGGCTAACTCATCCTCCTAAGCATATGTCCAAAGTCCGAACTCCTTTCCTCGAAAAAATGCAAAAGGAAAGGAAATATTTGGGAATTTGGAGTCCTGCGCTCATGGCTCTGGGCGAGGTTCTTTAAATACTGTTTTCTTACTGTGCAAACGACTGGATAAGCCTGCTCCAATACAGCGTTGTTGTCAACCCCTAACAACATGACTCCAATATACACAAGGAGACACCCAACTACTGCAACGTTATTCAGCTTAGGACTGGACAGTTTGATATATCTACAAATAAAAGGTTGCTTTGTCATTTTCTCCTTGAGGAATCCGTCCAAACAGATGTGGTTCAAGATGGTTTCTCTAACTTAATTACTATAGCCATTCTTGGGACACATTATACGTGTGATCATTATTACTATCTTCCTATGAAATGTGTATCTAGGGTGTTCTAATGCCTCACTTACTTCAAGCGTCTGTAGTAAATGTTAAAGATGAGGAATGTGACTGCAAGTACCATCCCGGCAAAGCTGAGGCCACACATCAGGAAGAAAGTAAGACCCTCTATGACGATATCTCGGGTTAAGATCGTATAGCTGTCAACGGGAATTCGACCTCCTATAATAATGATAATATTATGGTATTGTTTTGTAGAGGTATATCAAGAAACTGAATAAGCTGAAACAAGATATGGCAATTCTAAAATATAAGGTATAAGTTATAAGATTCCCTAAATATAAGCTTAAGGTATTCGCATAAGGTCTAACATATAAACATAAGGTTTAAGGTCCTAAAAGTATAAGGTGTTCACAAAATCATATTCACCTTTCCAAATTGGCTCGACACAACCTGAGCAATTAAAATCAAGTGTGTTATTTTCTGGGTAAAACAAGGCAAATCTTCGTTCTGTTCCATTCTGATTCTGTTTAAAGACAGTTATCCCACGTCTATCTGGGCCTTTAAACGATACTGGTCCCTGGAAATGACATTAATATTGACTCCACTAGGGTTCGATTTTAGTGACCTATTTTATCATAATTAATCATTATTAAAAGATATTTCATTCGTCTATGTTTGCGATCACATTCATTTACTGTAAATTGTGTATGATAGTCCATAACACAATAAGACACGTGACTCGAATCATCTAACCAGTCTTGTTGAGAGTTAAATAATTAATTAAAAATCCCTTTCATGAAGAAGACTTACAGAAACTCCAACAAACTCTAGGTCACCCATAGCCCTGAAAAACGTATGTAGCCACTCTCCTGACATGTTTCCCTTGTAATTAAAAGCAGTCAGTGGTATATTTTGGTTCAGGCGCTCTTTCATCATCTTGAGGCTATTGTTCAGAGTCAAGGCTACGGTCCAGATGGTGTCATACGTCACTGTAGCAAATGGACTTATTGGACGCGGACCTCCGTATCTTTTGTAAGACTCGAAAAACATCTCAGTAGACTAAAGTGAGACAAGTTTAACCGTCAGATTATTACATGAATACCATACAAATGTATCAATGCATGTATCTTAAGAAAGTACATTGGAGACAATAATGTCTTTTAAAATTCCTTTTGAATTGCTGAACATCATTTTTCATCATTTACTTACTTTCAACATCAGAAAAACTACCTATTAAACTGTTGTAAATTCACACAATTGCACTCATATTTCAATATACCCAGGTTATAACAAGACTTATACTTACAAGTCCGGAGATTGAGCGCTTCTGTCCGATGATAGAATTGAGTCCGTCCACTCCTATGTATCCGTTAACTGCCGTCGCCATTTCCTGCTTGGTACAGTTAGTTTCCCCCTCCACCTGCCACCAATCTTCTGTATACCACCCTAGTAGCACCCACACATATCTTCTCCCATAGAGACCTGCCTTGTATGCCTAAATATACATGAGTTCAATCATATACACTCTCCTGCAAAAATTCGGCAACTCTGTGAAACCTACCTGTTCATTTTTGAAAATTAAATCGGAAAACATTAGTTTGATGATGTCTTAAATCACCATACATTAAAAGGCTTAAAATATGCTTCATTACAAGGGATCTGAATTATTGTTGCCAAAATAGAAGAGTGTATTCATGCTTTTCATTGGTTGAAACGGGCATATCTTCTCAAAAGGTGGACCACATGTTCCTATAATAAGACCTCATTTTTAGAAAGTAGGTTCCAGTCGGTAAAATTGTAATACACCCCTGCATAAGTTTGGCAAACAAAAGTCCCCTTCTGGATCGCATCAGCCTGCTTATATTTGGAGATTTCAATAAATTCATCAACATTTTCCTGAACTATTAAAACTAGAGTAACAGCCTTTAACACTTTTTTAACACAATTTATCAAATGAAAAGCTTCCGGTTGCCGACGTCATACCGGTAGGTGGAGTATGCCTCGCTATTTCATAAACCTGACACAGCGTATATGTACGAAATGATATAAAACACACAACCATACACACGACATACCTGACAAAACACCTGACGAGCTGCATTTTCTTGGAAACTGCCTATGAAGACTCTTACATCTTCTTCCTGTCAATACAATAGACATTATCATCCGGGACTTATATAATATGAATGTCCACGTTAACACATAACAGGGAAGTTCCGCGACACATTAATAGGGAGGTTAAGCTACACGTTTTTCAGAAAACTTGTACGTGAACGTGTTATACTGTTGTAAGAATACTGGGAAGAGGAGGGGTGATTCCAAGAGGACGATAATTCTACACATTCATGTGCATACGGGTCCAATTAAAAACGTGTTTCTGAACTTCCCAAATAGTGAGGATAGCTCAATTTATCACAAAACCTGAGTGTTATGTGGAAATTATGTTCATTACTTCTTTTAATACAAATAGATGTCGAGGCGTAAGACACTTCGCTCAGACTTTGTTAGATTTTGAATAAAGTAGAAAAGAATCCGTGGGAGGATAGGAATATGTCAGAGCTGTACCGATTATCCAATTGAAACATGGATCTTTTAACGTTTAAGTGGCTCAGCTCAGTCAACTCCTTAAATACAATATATACAAAAATCAAACAACCTGCAAGTCGAGAGTACACTGACACATAAATACAAACTTTTTTTTCTATGTAAATAAATTGTTGTATGGGGCTTTCTAGGTGTCTAATTCAAGCTAAATTATTTCATATTCACAGACAACGAGCGAGCCCCCCCCCCCCGCTTGCCAAAACTTCTTTCGAAATCATGCAGTTTTCACGATTCTAAACACTTTTCAAGTGATTTTGGCCATTTTTGGGGCAAATTTATCAAAAGTGAACCCCCTGGAATTTTTTAAAAAGTGACCTCCTTGGCAATTCCTGGTTGCGGGCCTGCTCAACAAAATATTTGTCCAAATGTAATGTTTTGTTTTGATGGCCAGATAGATCGTCTGACTGTACGAATTTTGAACAGTTGACAAGCGGTCATAAAACATCCTCAGAACACAGGCCTCCAGAACTCGCACCTCGTTCTTCTGGAAGAAGGAAGGAACGTAATGAATGATGTCTAGAGCCCTGCGTTCGAATGATGCCTGTAAAAAGAGAATGTGAATTTTTAACGTACTTTAAGTTCTTGTATCTTGGACTCCAGATCGTTGCCCTCATTGCCATGCCTGAACGTCAAGGTCGGTTTCACAGTAATGTTTGCTTTATCAAACACACCTATCATGTCATTCATTGCCTAGAAATAAAATAAGAATGCATTACTGCTACACACTCCTGACCCCCCTATCACACCAAACTAGTTCTTACCCGTTCTTGCCAGTCCTACGAAAACGTCGTAAAACGGGCTCAATCTGACTGTGGTCGGGAAATATGTCTGAAATAATTAGCTTCTTCGTTCTTAAACAGTCTTCAATACGTCCATCTCGTTCGCAGTTCGTTCAGGTCGCACCACGTCGGTGTGCAACGTACTAGAACGCGTCCCTTAGTCTAGAAGGTCAACATGACCTGATAACAGAACGGCATGGTCGCCATCGAATTTTGAATCGATTCAAAATTCTAAAATCACATTCCCGTCTGAGAACGTTTATAAAGTTCGTAAATAGACCTTAGAAAGTTGCAGCTACGTTCATTCCGTTCGCACACAGTTTAAAACCAGTTTTGGAGAACGCAGTGGCAACTTGTTTGGTGTGATAGCTATATTTTTGCTAACTCGTTCATAAGCAGTGTTAAATACGTTCATAATCAGTTTAAACCCGTTTGCAATTAGTTCTACCTCGTTCTCAACACGTCCGCAGACAGTTCAACTCGTTGTTAAAACGTCCCTAGTAGGATTGAAGTACGACGGTTCCGTTCGTAGTACGTCCAGCTCGTCGTTAGTACGTTGTCACTCGTTCTAATTGTAGAACGTGACGACCACGAGAACATTTTGAGCATTGTCTGAGTTCTAGAGGACCTACCGGTTCGAGTACGTTCGATGAAGTTTGTAAATAGATCCCAAACGGTTCTTAGTAGGTCCAGTCCGTTCGTACACAGTTGAAGCCCGTTTTCGAGAACGTAGTTAGAACTAGTTTGGTGTGATAGTAGGGTTACTAAAGTTTGAAAAGACCATATTCACGCTTGATATCGTGTAAGAACCTGTTGTTTGATTTACACCCCCCCCCTTCCAAGAAAAGGTTGGCAACTGGATTGCGTGTTTAATGCCTGGGTTTGGGGGTTCAAAACATTCATCAAATTAGAAATAAGACTTATGGCTACTAAACTTATGGAGGGGAGTGTGTGACAAAGATTAATTTCTAAATTCAACAAACATGCTTGAACACATAGTCCCATGGTGGAGTTTGCTTTTTCCAAATGCTTAAGGGGAGTGTAGCAATCAAACTCATAATTAAGAAATATAGACCGAAGAGCATGTATTATATCGACGAATAAATAGCACAGGGCTAGGCACAAACGTTTTCCGTACCCCCAGCGAAAGATGGGAGTGAGGGGTTTGATAGCATTAGTGCCTAGCCCTAAGGTATTTATTAGTCGGTATAATACCTGATCTGAGGTCTATATCACGATTCGAACATGAAAACTCACCAACATTTTTCAAATTATTTATACTTATTAATGACAGTTTTCTTTAACATGGATAGGTCTGCCATCAAACGAATCACCAGCGCTCGTTTAATGGCCATATTCCACAAACCAGCCTAATGCGGGACAATTACGAGAGATGAGCTTTCGCCCATAATTGTGTCAGCTCTCTGAAATGCGACTTTATTTTACCATAGACAATGGGTACTGTAGCAGTAGCATCAATCAAGATAATATGCTTGCTGTCTCGTCACCGTGCTAATAAGCTCACATCCGAAAATTCACTCTATAATTTAACCCTCTGATTGGATTATGCAAAGGCCACAGGAACTACATAATCAAGAATTATTGAACGAAAAAACTACAATCAACTAAAGTCGTCTAGTACTTCCATCTCTTCAATGAGGCTTTATTTATTGATGCTGAAGTTATTTATTGTTTGAGTTTTCTCATTAGTGGTGATAGACATAATGACTTTGGACTAATTAGCAATGAGCTACTAATGTGCTTATAACATGATTAAGCTTACAGGAGCTGTGCTTTTTCTCAGTCCGATACACACAAATGCCTGTACAAGAAGTGAAAGAAAAAGAAGTTTGGGCTTTGGTTATATCCCTTTCAGTTTTCAATATCATTCTACTATACCTTGCACTTGGTGTTCATGAGCAACCCATTTGGCTTATTAGTAATGATTATGCTATTTGTTTTCATGTGTTTGTTCCTTATGAATGGTTTATCGGATATCTGTTAGATGTTCATAAGGTATTTTCAAAAATATACTAACAACACAATTAGACAAACAGAGTATCTTATGCATTTCTAGGGGTTAGGTATAGTATGGTGATATTCGATTTAGCAAAAGTAGTTATCTTACTATTTTAAGTTGATATTAATGAGGTATGGTAAGGGAGAATTCTACTATTCTGGGTACGGCTGTCACACACAAATGCCCGTACAAGAAGTGAAGGAAAAAGAAGTTTGGGCTCTGGTTGTATCCCTTTCAGATTTCAATATCATTCTACTATACCTTGCACTTGGTGTTCATGAGCAACCCATTTGGCTTATTAGTAATGATTATGTTATTTGTTTTCATGTGTCCGTTCCTTATGAATGGTTTATCGGATGACTGTTAGATGTCAATAAGGTATACTTTCACAATACTCACAATGAACTCACAATGAACTCACAATACTTTCACTTGGCACCTTTTTAGGTGGATCCCGGCTATGGCATTAATGGTTGAGAAATAGGGATCGAAACCAGCCATAGTTTTCTCCTGATGACCATTGTGAATTATTGTGTTTTATGGATTTTGGCGACGGCTTTTGTGAATGGATGTTGACCCTTTGAAATGTCTATGGACTTGGAGACTGGATTTAATCTATCCCACATCGTTTGAGACTGAATGCTCTATCTTGTATGAGTACTTGTATCTACAACAATTTTTGAGGTTATGAGTATTGGCTTTCAATTGGCTATCAATTTTTTTTCTTCAACATGTATTGTAATGACTTCAGTATGAATGAAATGCCCCTCGGTCTTCTGGTCTTGGATTGTGATATTGATTCAAACATGACCGTGCTCTATTCGAATTTCTCAACCAATCAGAATGCAGCATAGCCAATATAGAACGTTCTCTAATTCTCCATAGATGCACGACCATGCTCTATTCAATCTGCAATTTGCATTGTTTTGAGTGACGTCACATCTCAGCTGCACATCTGGGGCTCTGTCCGGGGATAGCATGCGTATTCTTCCTTCATGCCCGTTCCACAGACACGGCTTTTACTAATTTTTATGTTTGTTGAATGGTGGGGGAAAGGTTTCTTTTCACGTTAGATCATGGTTTTGGGCTATATGGGGTTTGTTTTTCTTAATTGGTATGCACTTAGAGTTTGCTTTTTCTTGTTAAGTTCCATTACAACTTTTGGTCCTTTCCCTTTTGGCACTAGTGCTTATATATTCAAAAATATACTAAACAAAACAATTAGACAAACAGAATATCTAGGGGTTAGGTATAGTATAGTGATATGCAAAAGTAGTCATCTTACTATTTTAAGTCAATATTAATGAGGTATGGTAATGCCTTGGTCACATAGGCTCCGATTTTCACTACGGCGCCCGGCCGATGAGTATTTTGTTCAAAATTGGCCGGCGAGCCTGGGCATCGTACGGGCGCCGGGCGATGATCGCCACTCATCGGCCGATTTTTAGACATCGTACGGGCGCCGGCAGAGTTTTATCGCGGAGATAAAAGTTGCCGATGTCTTGGCGATTTTTTCTCAACCAAACTCATCGGTACCTACCCGGCCGTGTCCCGTCCGGTCATCGTACGATTATCTTACGGCGCCCGGTGGCATCGCACGGTCATCTTGGGATTTTGCGTGCTGATTTGTTAGATAAATCTTAATAATGATTACTTATAAAGTGATATAACGGTTTTAAAAATAATGAGGTAAGGAATTATAATTACTACACACAGTCAAAGATTTTTTATAAAACATAAATGGAACGATTAGTAGGCGTACTGTAAAACAATGACACACATTTGAATGGCTGGGTGGTAGGGTTGATCTAGTCGTTTTTATGCGTATATTCACTCATGCATATACCATTACAAATCCTTTATTTTAAAAATCTTCTGAATGTTTTTGTGAGTACAGTATTTTCAAGGGTCACAATTTCAATACGAAAGTTCACTGTCTCAATTACAGTTAATATGCCAAAGACTAAGGATAATGGGGATAAGGCCAATGGGCCATATATGAGGAAGGCCTTGGGAAGACAGGTGGAAAAATGCTATGGGGCTGGTGGATGACTAAGATTTAGATGTGTCGAAGGAAGAGGGTACTCCACTTGAAATAGAAGAAAAAATTGCCAATTTCATTAAAGATATATTTTTATGACCAAACAAATTCTCTTTACGAGAACAGACAAAAGAAAGATGCAGAAATAGGGAATTTTGCTAATAGCATCGGATGGACAGGTAGACATAGTATTTGTTAATATGAAAGATCTAAAAATGAATTAAGGCCAGGGTGCAGACCTCGTGCAGTATGGCAAGTGATTTTAGACGGTCATATCTTTCACCATGAGTACTTTCTGGGCATAAATTCAGTGTTTTTATTAAAACAATATGTTTTCTTTCAATTGAAGTACCCATGATAGTAAAAATATCAATCAAACAATTTGAAAAATTATGAATAGGGACCCCTTGTCGGCATTTTTCTTCTTCTAAATATTGAACCTATTTACTCAAAAGAGGATCTTCTTTTTCTGATTTTTATTGCATGCAAACATTATTATATCCTGGAAGTCCTGTCTATCGAAGTAATTCGTTTTCAAATCTTGCGTTCACGCCATGTGGAACAGTCATACTGGGTCATACAAGAATTTAGTATAAATCTAGAGGCCTGTAGATCGACCGATGTGCCGTACGGCCATCGGCAGATAGCCTTGCGATACCTGTGCGATGTCTTTCAGATTCAATTGATTGCGGGCGCCGTACGATGCCTGTACTTATGTGACCATACTCACGATTAGATCAAGACATCGGTGAAAAGTCACCGGCGCCCGGTCGATTTAGAAATCAGCCGATGACTACTCATCGGCCGGCGCCCGGCGGCTATGTGACCTAGGCATAAGAGAGAATACTATTCTGGGTTCGGTTGTTTCATGAATTTGGGGCATTGACATTTTTGGCACGCTAATTGCTGTAGGGAAAATATACAGGTATACATATTACATACCCGCATATATACACTCTACTATACCTAACCCCTAGAAATGAATAAGATACTCTGTTTGTTTAATTGCATTGTTTAGTATATTTTTGAAAGTACCTTATTAACATCTAACTTTCAACCAATAAACCATTAATAAGGAACAGACAAATAAAAACAAATAACATAATTATTACTAATAAGCCTTGCTCATGAACACCAAATGCAAGGTATAGTAGAGTGATATACCCAAAAAGGATGCGGTACACATTTGTGGTGGCTTCATGAATACGGGCTCTACTGATGCCTACTATTACAGATGGTTCCTAGTCAACTCGGCCCCTAGTTAACTCGGACCCTAGTCAACTTGGACCCTAGTTAACTCGGACCCTAGTCAACTCGGATCCTAGTCAACTTGGACCTATGTATTTTTTTGTATTTTTCTTTAGTTTGAGCATTAAAATGATAAGGTATATATAAAAACAACATTAATCATATATAATTGTTAGATAAAACAATGGTTGATAAAGGTAAAAAATAATTCTGACACTTTTGAGTCAATCATAAACCATTCAGCCTGATTGTGAAATCATATACTGGTAGGAATAAATATGAAATAAGAGTTTGATTTTACATGAAACCAGTTAATTTGTCTTACAAACAAATAGTATGTGACAGTTGAGAGGTTAAGCTTTGCATATATAATCGAAACTGAACCTGTACGTATCACTCGACCATATACAAATTCATGTAGCCTTCTCATATAAATAGCCGTTCAAATCCAGAGTTTGTTTAGACTACACCATAGCGTCTAATGATTCTATAGTATGTCATTGATGCGGTTTTATAGCTGGTTTTCTAATACATATTTTAAACGAGCTCGTTTCGTAAGATTTTTGGCCCTAAATCATGCATGACATACATCATCGTGTTCAGCAAGAATTCAACTGTGCATCGAAATCAAAATTGACAGCATAGTGTTCAATAGACACGAGTAAAATGGTTCCCGTTGACCCAAAGTCAAATTTCAAAATCTCCCGTTCTAAACCCGAAACTCTGAAGCTGAAAGAGTATCTGAAGTAAACTAAGCGCGCATAAAACTATGAGCGCTCGATACATTCCTTTGTTAATTTTTGTACTTTGCGTTCACGGTTACGTTGTGAAAAACATCGTTAGCTTAACCTCTCCAATAAATTAGAAATTCAACGTGAATTAAATGTTATTGACCTCAATTCTTCAAACCAAGTTAAAAGGGGTAAACATGTTAAATTAATTGAAAGCCCATGATTTTTAAGAATTTCTTAAAGAAAGTAAAAGATTAAAGTTTCAAATCAAATTATAACACCATATTTGGTAATTTTGTAACTTGTATTTGATTTATTAAATCAAAATACATTTCAAATTCCCCACTCATTGAATATTTTACTAAGGTCACCAAATTATTTAATCATTGTATTTCCATATTTGAAGCTTTGAAATATGAAATAAAAATGTGTAATGAAATAATAATGTATTTTCGAAAAACAGAAAGTAATTTTACACACATGTTTAGAAAATGAATTTGGAAATAAAATTGTTTAAAGATTCTCGCAATCTTTATCCAAGCAGCGTTTGCGAGTGTGTCGGCTCACGTATAAAAGGCGAATCCAACTCAAATCCATGCAGGGGTGTAATGAGGTACTCGAATAGGAAAGAGCTCGTGAAATCTGAATTTATATTCACATGGTCAATGTTTACACATGTTTGGAGTTATTGAAGAAAATGTGATATGGGTGTGGTTCCGAATTTGAAGCCATTGCTGGAAAATATGATTTTAATACGTGAAATTATATCTATAAATACAGCACTAAAAATAACAGTACATGTACATGTATGATTGTGTTCAGAAATGTTTGAAACCCTTACGGAAAATTCTGTTTGCATTTTGTCACCATTGCTCTTTCTTCCCGCATTCTAGTGCTGTTTGAATGAATATATTTATTAATGTATTTCTAACTGAAATATATCACATTTTTTTATAAACCACAAACATTTAGATCATAAAAAAATTATTCAATACTTGAGTGAGCACGATATGCAAGGGTTACTAAGTTGACACAGTAAATGACCACTGATATTGTGTTAGTCCATGCACACAGCGTAACACCCCTCACTTTCATAGTGAAGTGACTAATTGGTTTATGTTTACGTTTTAATGTGTTTTGGGTTCCTTGTTACAGCAAGGGGGCCAGTAAAGTAGACTAACATGTTTACATGGCAAGTTTTGATCGAATATGTGAGACACTTTAAAACACAAATGCTCTAACACATTTCCCCATACTGTATATTTTCATTAATGTAATACCTCTATATTTTGTTCACTTCAACACCCTAATTAAATACTTATCGAGGATACAAGATTTGTTAATTAGGTTTCTTAGTCAAAGTTATTATAACAGCATTATACACAACAGGCTAAATTGAATTCATTTTCTTAAAAACATAGTATAGTTCTATATAAAGTCAATATAAAATGAATCAAAATCATTCAAAATCATTCTTATTCAATTATAAAGAGTTATTTGATCACACATGACGCAAATAGCATAAAAGAATAAAGGTTTTAAAAGACTGATTTTGACTCATCAGAAATATACATAAACACCGATTATTTAAAGATTTCAGTAATGAATTAAATTGTATCTTAAACTATTCCAATCTTAATAATTTGAAAGTTAATTGGTTTCACCTTTAACATAGCAAAATGCCTCTGATTTATATTGAATATAACTGGGTCCAAGTTGACTAGGGTCCGAGTTAACTAGGGTCCGAGTTGACTAGGGTCCGAGTTAACTAGGGTCCGAGTTGACCAGATACCTTACAGATACATCCAAAATATCGAAATGTCATTGCGTTTCAATAATTCTCAAACGAGGACCACAACCAGTCATAAGTATAACAGGAACATAGTTCGAAGCATTTTTTCGGCTTTATAAAGCCCAAGATATTCGGCTTAGATTAGTTGATGTGTCTGCACGAAGCCCAGATTATTTTTGCGTCTTATTTTGGAAAAGATAGATTACCAAATCTTATAATCCGTGCTACAATCCTATCTTTAATAATTGTGATTCATTTTCTGAGGCATGTAAACGCCATGACACGTCGTGTTTAATAAAAATGCGATATTTCAGTTAATTATCGTGGCTTGGTCTAATGATGAAAATGTGAATAACTTTTACTGACGTGCCTTTTTCGAAACATATCTGTATTTTCTCAGTACCACTCATAAAATATTGTAATTTACCAGAAATATAACTTATAATTTCGTATAGAATGGTTGAAAAGTCTTTGAGTTTTGTCTATTGAAATAGAAGAAAAATAATGTTTGGTATAAAAGTACGATTGTAAGTGTCATTATGATTTAGCCGACGTAATATATTGATTGAATTAGTACGTCCCATGATAGACTCGATGACGTTTACAAGGTCTTATTAACTCATACCAATTTATAACCATCGATAATGCTAAAAACATTTTCACATTAGACCAAATCAAAGTCGTATATTTTAAAGTCTGTCCTGTAACTCAGTTGGTATAGCAATCGACGTGTTGTTTATCGAAGCTAGATCGTGAGTTCAAGTCTCATGGGGGTTGGAGTGACGTTTTCAGTTTTCACATCTTTGAATATATTTAATGAAAGGTGGTAAATGTATATTACTACCTTTTATAATTGGATTTTGATAAAATTTTGGCGAGGCACTTGTATGACCAGAATCATACATAGATACACCCATTACCAGAAAAAAACAGAAGTCCCCTTCTGGATCACGTATCGTGTGTTTATGTTCGGAGATTTGAAGACATCAAAGTCATTTTAACATGCTATCAAAATTAAGACTTTCGATTGCCACACTTTTGGATGAGAGTGTAAGAGTTCTCTCAATATAAATGTGAACTTAGGCTACCAGAGAAAACATTTCTCAATATATATGTGAACTTACCAGAGAAAACATTTCCATGTCTTGGTGAATAGCAGCCACCTTAGTCCAGCCAAAATGCTGAATCAGCATTTTTCTTGCCTGGTTATGCGAAGAGTCGGCTACCGCTAGCCGATAGAAAGTCGGATATTTTTCTCTGTCGCTAAGTGCAGGGGAGCTGGCCGCAAATGACACCTGGAAAATATTTATTTCATTTTAATTTGTTAAGAATTGTTATACATTTGATCATTTAAAGAAATACAGTTTTAAAGGGTAACATATGCTCAGAGAAGGCAAATGAAAACGTTTATTTCTACCCAAGATTGTATAAAATGTTTATGCCTGTTAATATTTTACAGAATCACATGTTTCGCAGAATCACATGTTTTGCGGAATCACAAGTTTTGCAGATCCAATGCGGATTCATATATTTTGCGGATTCATGTGTTTTCCAGAATCACGTATTTTGCGGAATCACACGTTCTGCAGAATCTAATGTTTTATGGTATAATGTTTTTCAGAATCATGTTTTGCAGCCTACAAGATCAAATGTTTTGTGGAATCATATGTTTTGGAATCGCATACATCTTTTGTGGAATCACATCATGTGTTTAATGGAATCATCGTCGTATGGAATCATACTTTGGTCAAGCATCCGGTCAAGAGAAGTGATAACATGCTGTTGTAAGCCAACAACAAATGCTCACCGTTTAATCAACCACTTCATTTTGTTCCAAAACTAGCTGAAAATGATGGAAATAGGACATTTCCGCAATCCAAGATGCTGCTGCTGAAGCCCTGTGTGGCCCATGAACAAAATTATAAATTCATCTAAACTGATGCGTGTATTTTCTCAGCGGCATTCATATTTATCAATTTAAGCACTGTTTTGGGTATATTTGAAGGAATCATGTAAGGAAAGTCGAGTTTCGAGTTTCACATCAAGGAATAGATAATTAATGAAGTATACTTCATTAATTATCTACGTATTCTTTGATGATGGAATGTTTTGAATGGGCATCTACATTTGCGATATATCATTATTTTAAGATCAAACCAGAGTCGACGCGTGATGGACAGAAAGCTAATTGAGTTGTTAATAGACTTGTATTTGAAGACATTGCTAATGGGTTTGTTGTGATGGTGTCTTAATCAAGGTCTATTCTCTGTTAATCTTGCCCTCATCTTCATACAGTATAGACCTGTTCGATTCAAATAAGTTCATTCACAGACTTTACCGTAAACAGTCTGTTATTGCCAACACTGGAACATATTGACAGGAGTTCAACATCTTTAGGGATTCTTTGGAATATTGAACTCAATCTCAGTAAACAGCTAAGCAGTCACTATAATGAGGAGCAATAAACGAAATACTGAAATATGTGGATTCTTCAAAATGAGATTAATTTCGAATATTAATAAATGAACACATCCTGTACATCATGATTCTTTTTTGAATTTTTCGGTCGGTGTCGTCGATCATTGATAGGTTTGATTCTCTACAAAAACGTTTGCACGGCGCTCTTTGGTAACGAATTGAACCCGATTCTCATCATTTTACGAATCTGTAGCTTTTATTGCGATTACCTTAATACGGAATTATATGGAACAAATTGCACCATTACTTCCATTTGAATTCGTTCAACTTTGCATCTTAAAAAAGCTTCGTTTTCAGTAGTTTGTAACTAGAATCTGCGCACAATGTAAACCATTACAATTTTTACATTTCCGAATCTGTATAAAGCTTTGTATTGTGGCAACATTGATGTGGCGTTCAATTGAACAAAATGAACCAGAATTAGAACAATTATTGTGTTAAAGAATCTATATGTGGGTTTTATTGTGGCTGCCTTTATGTGAATTTCCATTGAACAAACTGAACCCTAACGATTTTCATATTTTCGATCGTTATTCTAATGGCAATCTTAAAGAGGCAATGTCGCTTAGGTTTCCCCTCCAGACAATCAGTGATGTCCCATTATAATTGCTCATATAATGTCTCACATACCTAAGATTATATAAGAACTTTACGGCACAATATCGCTGACATGTTAGAAAATCAACAGAACAACCACCAGAACAAGTTGAACAACCAACTGTCGGATAAAACGCAATTAGTCCAAAGCAACATACAGTGTACAAACGCTTTATCTATATTATGAAACCCTTGAAAGTAATTAATATAACCAACTGCTATTTGTTGTGGTTCAAAAATGAAAAAAAAAATTTTCCAATTTTATTTGACTTTATTACTAGCCAGTAGAAAGTAATATCTGTGAACAATCATCAAATTGATCGCGTAACGAACTAGTTGAAGCCTCAAATTTGATAAGTAGATAGAACTACTTGTTTTACATCTTTTATAACCAAAACATCAGGGGGTTACTCTTATTGTGTTTTTATCAGACATTGCACCTTTAATGTATTATTTTTGAAACATCAATTTGTTATTCACCAAGACGATTGAATCATAACAAATCTTACATATCTGAAGCTAGTAGGGGATGAGGAGTTTTTTATAAAGAGATCAAAGGTGGACTCCTAAAGATCTCATGCGATCTTTATAGCTCTTTAATGTTCTAAGTAGATATTGAGAAACCATCGACAACTGGCCTTTGTTCATTTGGCAGTCAAACGATATGTGGATTGGTTATTGTAACATGTAACAGGAGGATTGATACATGAGAAGACTGCTTATCTAAGGAACTAAAGAGCGTCGATCGACCGTCTTAGAAAATAGGATACCAGATTCTATAAGATCTTTTGAATTGGAAATTATTCTCTGTAAGTGTTTCTTGTCGGGTAAACTATTATGTGATATTACAATAGAGCAAATACATTTACATACATTGCATCTGTTAATTGTCTCTTGAAAAAGTTTATTTCTGGCCCGAGAGCTTGATTGGCCACCTTTAACCAGCTTTTATAAGGTTAGATGTAACAAATAATACTGTTGGCACCTTGGTCAAGTCGCGCAATCCTTTGGTGTTTAAAAGATTGGGATAACGTCATATCACCAATCCTTTGGTGTTTAAAAGATAGGGATAACGTCATATCATGACATCATTAAACAATAATAGATCCTCATTGGTTAACTGTCGAAAGTATTTTCCTCCACTGCGATTCTTGACCCATGGTAATAGGGATATAACCTTCACAATAAACCGCTGATTAGGTCAATAATTGTAAAATGTAGTCTTATGTTAGGATGTTAGGGGGCAATGCGTTGCGTTGCATTGAACTTTATTTGTATTGTGATTTTAGATGTTTCACATAATCCTCAGAGGCAAAAGTGAATTCGAAAGGAATTGGATTTCGAAAAAACGAGCATTGGACTTTGATTATGATTATATAAATGTGTTTATATTAGTGCACGTGTATCTTCTGTATAACAACCATATGCTAATAACAACGTAATATTTTATATGCCAATTTAATGTTTTTTTCTCACAACATAACAGGGATTCCTTAATACTTACCATCATTAAATTCCAATAAGGAACTATTTCTCCAACCATCTTTGTCACCTCCGAACATGCAGACCCTAAAACCATTGTCAAGGGATTATCACTGTATATCATGTGGTAAAATTCATCTGCACCCGTGCCTGGATCACACTACAAATACACAATTAACATGAAATAATGAGAATATATGTTCTACTAAGTCAGTCAGTATTAGACAGTTATTCGGTTAATGGTCATTTACATAAACTAATTAAACTACACAATGGTAAAAGAAACATTTCAACTTCCGATAGTGAAACTTCTTATAGTGCAGTGTCATAATTTCCGACTTTGTAATTTGATTTTATATTTCAATGTTGTTTATTAATATAGATAATTTTCGCTTTACAAATAAAAAGGTGATGAACATGACATTGTTAATAGATTGTACGGGGTATTGGTCTTCACAATGGCAATTACAGTGAATACGGACTTTTTAACGTTATAACCTTGATCCTTGACTTATATGTGATCGACCTTAATGGTCCCAATTGTCCTTGATAATCAACGCTGTGTGACATCAATCACACTTACCATCGACCCTGAAAATTCTTGAGAATAACAACAAAACACCGACCCGTATCAAAACACGACAATGTATTGTAAAGTATGGTTTCGTGCATGAAATAATTCACGCCGATTACTTGGCATTGGAGATGTATTCATTTATAGACAGTCAAGATAAGTGTGATTGTAACGATCAAGTTGTTAACGAATTTTTCTCGTTTCGAAACCTTTCTTGTGACAAAATTGGGCTAAATGTAATGTCACACGCAACGTTTTGTGTATTGAAAATTAGTTTCATCTACCATTTTAAATAACATATGGCACTGGAAGTTTGATAGCTTGAATTGGGTTCATTGATCGATAGAACGTTCACCGTGTTTCTAAACACCGTAATCAAATGCTTCATCTTATCAAAACGATGAACCTATGTCTGCAAGCAATATATTAAGGGGAAAAGTCTGTTAAATCAGATTGTTACAATATGGTTGGATCAACTCAAATGACGAAAGGTTCTCGCGCGTTCCAGTTTTTCAATCTAAGGCAAAACTCTTAAAAATACATTAAAGACTCATTTAGCAGTAGCACGCTATCAAACGGAGAGTAGGAGTTGCCAAACCTTTGGAGGGGAGTGTATATGCTGTTGAGTTTTGCCTATATTAAATTATATTAATCCTCTAGAATAATTCACATAGCATGCCATGGGCCAGATCCCTACTCGGGGCTCCGACCTACTTAGAATAAGTGCCTTATCTGTCAAATCAAGAAGATTTACGACATGCATTGTTTTAAACCTAAAACCCTTTGCACCTTGAAATTAGCATATGGTCGCCATTTGTTTTATTAAGAAACCACAAATTGACAGTCATGAGGCAAGTGCACAGGGTGTGCCAGAAGTAAGGTAAATGGGTCTGGCATTTCAATAGTACTATTGGTCAGATCTTCAGGAAATTTGGCAATATACTTATAATTTGGTGCGTTCGGTTACCATGGTAACCATAACTCCAACCCATCAAATGCCACGGTGATGATTTTTCATATGGTTAATTATAAATGTATGATTTAAATTCTGACCAAACAGGAAGATCTGACCAATACGATTGAAGTTTCAGACACATTTACCTTACTTCTGAGACACCCTGTATATTATGTCCCCAAAATAGGTCAATACTGCATTCCATTTAGTTTTAAGCCTCAAATATTTCTTATTTACAACAGTTCGTAATTTCGATTCTAATCAGTTGACGTTTACCCTTTGCATTCGTTTGACTTCACTTCTTAAAAGAGAGCTTCGTTTAACTAGACTCTGCACGCAGGGTAGTTGACGTTATGCTATCTCGTCGTAGATTTTCGGAGATTTCTCAAGCTGTTTACCTTTTCAAACTGCGACAATTTAAAAAATATGGTTCTTGGCGCTATTAGTTTTATTAGTTGATTTATTTCGGGGATACTGTAGCCAGTCACAACAACAATAAATTCTCAGTTTAAAGCAACATAAAGGTTGGGAAATGAGTTCCATCCCATCCAAAGTGAAGAATGTTGATGATGATAGAGCATTTGATACACCGTTGAAAGGGGCACTCACATTTACATTGCGTAAGGATGATATGAATAGATAAGTGTAGTTTTGGGAAAATCATGTTAGCATATGTGAAAAACGTGCTATCCCTTATTCCAAATATGAAAAACGGTTCTTGAGACTGCTACTCTTCGATGCAAATATTTTCATGAGTATCTTCCATTATATGGGATCATTACGGTTTGATGATCTGCACTTTTGGGTTACTGAGTTTTCTGCCTTTATTTTGTCATTGAACTGATTGCAATATAAACGTTTTTCAGCTGCGTCTCAGTTGGAACGACCGAGTTATGTTGTTATTTATAATCGCTGGCGATCATCATGCCCCATAGAGGAACATTGATAACCAATGTGTGTTTTAGAAACAATATTGGGCCTGTTGGTCTTGGCTCCTCGGTCCAGGGACGTAGCCAAGATAAAGAATTGGGCGAGGCAATGTAATTTGGCGAGGCAAATTTAGGTTAAATGAGGTATATTTTTATCTTCGGACTTCATTCTCAAAGTTTAGAACAAACCTATTTCGTATCATTTTGGTGAGATCAGTCTTACCAGTGTCAAAAGTGTACTTTTTGTACTCATTTAAAGTGCTATTAAGTTAAATGAAATAATTTGATTGATGATGATTTATATGAACGATCACAGACCCCAAGGGTTTTATATACGATTTGTTCTCTGTTCCACGTGATAACCACTCTCGCTAAATAAACAATCTTAACTTTTTACGATTCTGATCGCTGAACGGGAGAGTATGTGAGAGGAATAACAAATAATGGTTTCGTCCCGTGGTGTCACTTTGTCTTAAGGCATTACCTCTACCAGTTTGCTCATCTTAATATGGGCTAATTGTTCCAAATATTCATAACTTGCCGGTAGAGAATCCAAACTGTTGGTAGCAATAGATTTTAAAGCATGTCAAAGGTTTTCTTCAAATCTCAATTATTTTATTATTTGAAAAAAGAATGAAAAGTCTACATCTGATCAAGTTTGGCAGATATTGAACATTTGGGATGTAGTAATGTCCAAATTCGTAAGAACCGAAAAAGGGCAGTCAACTGTAAAAATCGTAACGTTATCACGAAATGATTAGAAATGTAGAACAACGGTAACGCGCCGGTATTCACTCCCTAAATCAACGCGCTGGATGTCAATGAAATGAATTTGTTGGACGTGAGTTGACGTTTAACCCTTTCTTTAGACTTAATTAGTTATTCGATCATACCTTACTCATAACATTGTATTCAGACAGTATGCTAGCATTCACGTACCTTAACTTGAAGAGGAAATGTTTTACACATTAAGATGTAAAAGCTACGACATATCTCAAAAATGTACACATATAGACGAATATCTGGATAGCCCATGACCCATTTGTCAAAAGATTCAGTAAAGTACATATTCATTATGTGGTGTGACTGCTCGATCGCCATCCGCAGAGAATAACTTAGAAAAATCGACGCATTTGGTGAATTACCGGTAGGCCTACCAAAGTGCCATTGAGCCCAACACAATCAGTTGGAACACGTTTATTTAGATAATCAACTATTGATGTCCGATTTTAGATTTATGATCAGCTATGGGGCAATTTTTGTAGTTAGGCTTTAGTTTGTATTCAGGAAACAAATGGAGTAATCGGGAAAAGTAATGCGATATCCCAAAATCCCATCATCCTAGTAGTTGTTAACATGTAAAATCCACTAGTACGGCCATCACGGAATATCATTCATTCAGCATTGTGTATTTCTCTAGATTTTACCATTAAAATACGAAATTAATTTGTTAAATACATAAGATGGTCACGAAAAACACGATACGAGCTTTTTCATCCATAAAGTCACACAAGAGAAAGAACACTAGCTCTCTCTCTCTCTCTCTCTCTCTCTTACCCGAATGTATACGATTTGTTAACGACGTGTGATTAATTGTTTCATTAATTGCACATTGTTTCTAGATTTATCAATTTTTTAATTGTTCAATTAATCAATCAATTGTTCAATTAATTATCAATTAATATATCAGTTTTCCAATTTTGCATCGCAGAAATCACATTCGAACTCTTTGAGTTCCAATCTAGAAACAAAGTGAACGATATTTAGTATTCTATGATAAATTGCCTTGATATAGAGTTAATAAATCGCAAGGTATTTAGTCGATTGATTTATTTTTTGATCAATCGATTAATTAACCAATTAATTATCGATTAATTGTGCATCTCGGAAACCACATCCAAAATCTATGAGTTCTCTTTTACAAATTGTAAAAAGTTTAATTAAAAAAAAAATTAATAAAAATTTTACAAATTACAAATTTTACGAATTAAGTGATATGTAGTATTCCATGTTATATAATGTCATTGAATGATACATTGCCTGGGTATAGAGTTATTGTATGATGCATTACCTGGATTAATAGTTATTGTATGATATATTGCCTGGATATAAAATTACCATGGGACATGTCTCCTAAATATTTATGTTTTGTTTGTATGATATAGTTACTGGATATGTAGTTTCTGTACAAGACATTTTCTGGATACAGAGTTCTTGTATGATATATTGCTTGTAAACTGTTATTGCACGATATATTGTCTGGATATATATGGGTACTGTATGATATATTGTCAGAGTATATAATTAATCTATGATATATTGCTTTAATATATTATCTTATAACATATCACTTGGATATTTAGTTATTCTATGATACATTTTATGGATACATTATAGTAATTGTATGATATCTATGTTTAGATATGTAGTTATTATGTGGTATATTGGTTGGACATATACAAGTAGTTATTAAACAGGGTGGTCAAAAAATGGAAACCCTTACACCATTTTCCTCATGTATTTGTCATTTTAAGAAATAACTCCCTGATATTTTGCACATTTGTACATCATTCAATTTCCTACCAGCCCACTTTGTTTCATGACCATCAGATTGATAATCACAATGTTACAGCACTTTACAGAACATGCCCTAGTGGCCAATATTGTCTTGTCGGGCCACCTGCATTCGCCGTCCAAAATGT